TGGCGCCACATTAAACTAAAAAGCGTCTGCACAGCGGAGTAAATGCAGTGAAAAGGCAATCTGCAGAATGGAAGGAAATAGTTGCAAATCGTTTATCTGAAAGGGGGTCAATATAAAAAAAAAAAAAAAAGGAACTCCTACCATTCAATTTAAAAAAACAATGATTTTTTTAAAAAATGGACAAAGGACTTGAACAGATGTTTCTCCAAAGAAAATGTAAAAATGGCCTACAGGTGTATGAGATATGCTCAGCATCACTACCAGAGAAATGGAAATCAAAACCACAATGAGATGCCACCTCACACCTGTTAGAATGGCCATTATCAAAAATAAAAAATTTAAAAAAAGAACAGATGGTAACCAATGTTGGTGAGGATGTGGAGAAAATGGAATCTTGTGCACTGTAGCGGGAATGGAAAATTATGCAGCCACTATGGAAAACAGTATGGAGTTCCTCAAAAAATTAAAAATAGATCCAGTAATCCCACTGCTAGGTATTTATTGAAAAAAAGAAAAGAAACAGGATCTAGAAGAGATATCTGCACTGTTCTGTTCACTGCAGCATTATTCATAACAATCAAGATATGAAACAGTCCAAATGTCCATCAACAACAAAAAAATGCATTATATACATTCAATGGAGTATTTCCCCACCATAAAAAGGAAGGAAATTCTATTACACGCATGGATCTATTTTGAGGACATTATGCTAAGTAAAATTAGCCAGTCATAGGATGATTAATACTGCACGATTCCTCTTAAATGAGGTACCTAAAGCCATCAAACTTAGAGAAGCAGAAAGTAGAATTGTGGTTACCAGGGGCCGGGGAGAGAGGAAAGTGGGGGTGGTTGTTCAATGGGTATAAATCTTCAGTCATGTAACACGAACAGCTTGTAGAGAGCTTCTGGACAACGTGTGCCTATAGTTAACAATTTTGTACTGTACTCTCAGAAATTTGCCATAAAGACAGTTCTCATGTTATCTGTTTTTTTTACCACACCAAAAAAACAAGTTCAACAGAGGGGTTGACAGCGGTTCAAATACAGCCAACGAGATTCAGCTAACTGAAACATGACATACGGCAACTGTCCTGTCAATTTTTCTATACGTTGTAGCTGCAACACGATAACGTAGGGGAAGAAATGGATGAGAGTTTAAGACAGATGCAGGAGAGAATAAAGACTTTTAGCATCTCTAATCAGAGCACCAGAAACACTAGAGGGAACAGATGGGTAAGGCAACAGTCAGAGACAATGGTTGTTGCGTTTCTAAAATCAATGAAAGACATAAACCCACACAGTCTAGATCTAAACAAATCACACAGACTGTAGTACAGAGAGGCACTGAACTCATGGGAAAAGTGAATGGCAAGTTAAGGCACATGGAGAGTTACGGTCTGACATAATCCAGCCGGAATCCTGAAAGCTAGGTGTTAATATGTTTTGATGATAAATGAAAAAAATTCAAAGGGGAACGTGAGAGTGCTCATCTCTTGTGTATCGCTCATGGTCCCCAGTCCCTGTGCTAGACACTGGCAAGCATGGAATGAAGGAGGCAAAGTAAATCTGCAACAGGGTGCTGAGCAAACCCGAGGGTCGTGGTTCTCAGCAACGATTCCCAGGGGACCAACGACTGATGACCACCTTCGTTCCAGCCGGTACTCGTTACGGCCAGTACTCGTTACAGCCATCGCAGTGAATTTCAGATCTACAAAAATAATCACCATCCAGAGTTGTGTTATTAAAAGTTTCAAAGTACCTTTAACCAAAATCCACTTTAAAACATTGCTGAAGGGAGGCAAATCAATTTTCTTCACACTGATCAAAATTTCACACAGAAAGCTTGATGTGGACATTTTGTATCCCTAAAAATTACTATCATCAGAGTTTTACCAAAACACGAAAAAAAAATGTCTTGCTTCGTTTAAAAGCATCTAAGAGTAATGGTAATATATTAGCTAGATCCACGCTGGAATTACCTAGGTAACCTAACAGAAGAAAAAAAAGAAATATTTCAAATACCCATTCTTCTTCTGGACTTACTCTTTACAACCTAAATTCAAGTCTATTTTGCATAAATTAATTCTATTATCTGCGACATGTCTCTTGTACGTCACTATAAAGTATTTATTCCATTCAAGTGAATCACTGGTTGTGCTGTTGTATTTAGCCATTTGGGGCCTGGTAACAACAATGTGGCACAAATTCTTCATCTGAGAAAATACTTTTGAAAAAGTACACACAGAATGTTTCCAAAGAAATTGCTTCTTTCTCACTCTACTATAAATAGTAGCAGTATATAGGAACTCAGTGCTATAACATTCCTCTTTTGAATTTTAAAATTTATCTTCAATATACATTAGTGACATGGGGAAGGGTATATACTACATACAGCCAAGGATACCAGAGTCCAAATACATTCCTGTATGACTAAACAAATTTTTATATAAACCGCAAATGATTTCAATAAAATACCAAGATGGCTTTTTAAATGACCATATTTGCTTATTTTCATTTCTAGTGGTAATGAAATGTTTTCAGCTATGTCCTTAATATTCCAAAAGACTGTGAAGCCTTTCATTATCATACGAAATGTATTTTCACAACTAGTTTTTAAAATATGTCACTTTAACTGGAAACACTGCAAACACATGTACACTCTTTCAACTGCCATACTGGCCTTAATCTATTAGCTCTGAGGCAGGTTTGTTACTTTGTTTCACGGAGGAGAGGTAAATTAAGAAAGGATAATGACGTTTACTACCAACCAGAGAATAGAGACACCAATGGGTGATTTAAATAACCATCACTATGGTCCCTTTGATAAACACCTAAGTACTTACCCACCAATTTGGCCCTATTTGCACAGTGTTTTCCATGCTGTTTGGGGTCCTATTTACCTCTTTTACAGGTTCCTTGAGGGGATGGGCCTTGCCCTAAGAACTACTATTCTAGCCCTTCCAGCTCCAAACCAAAGTTGAGTGTATACTTATTGATACATTAACAGCTTTGATATAATACCTATGTTCCCATGGCAATTAGGAGAAAACCAGGCTGTAGGTAGAGTAATTGCAGGTATAGTTACGTACAACACAATCACAACAAGGGACAAGACCATAACAGGGATTTTGAATTAACATGTTCAGAAACAGCGAATGAGTTGATACAGCATAATGCTTTTTAAAGGTACAAGAAAATGTATCACCGGGTTGTTTTTTAGTTTAAGGATGCTTTTTGGGGGGTCTTACATGTGATGCTGCATTCCTCTGTGTATAATGCTATCTCATGTCTATATGAAGTACCTTCTTCATACAGGTATGGAAAGAGCTGTATGTGCTATTCAAAATCCGAAAGAAAATTTTAAAAATGTATTTTCTCACCCTTCTGCAGTTTATTAACACACACACAGTGTTCTGCTGATTAAAACAAAGGTCCTACTTTTCATACACACAGAGGGGCAGGAATCTTTTTAGAGTTGCTGTTAGAAAAATTCTGCACCAACTTGGCTTTAAGATCAACTTTTATCAAAATGTTCATCTTTTTCCCTGACCTTCCTCAACCTCTCAATGAAAATTATATATCAACGGTCATGAGGCAAAGGAAGTGATCATATATGAGCGCAGCAGACTTACCCTACCTTTACCATTTTAAACGCACCGCATCAGAGAGGACAAAAGCACATTCTAAACCGTCTTCCTGGGTCTTCTAACAATAGCCTGTTCCTGGAATTTCTTCTGCCTTCGGATGATCATACTGAGTCTCTGTGGCCCCCTACTCTTCAAGGTCAAATAACCTGTCCACACCTCCCTCCAACACTTCAGAGGTGAGTCTGTGTGTCCTCTCTCTCCTATCTTTTGTCCAAGAACTTACTGCCCAAGCACTTATTTTATTCTGAAAACCTTACGAAGGCTTGGGCACACTAAGCCCTTGAGAGTCCCTGAGGTAACTCCACAGCTAGGGAGACCTGCACAGCCCCCCAAAACTTGCTACCCCTCCAGCTCCTCAAAACACGTCAGAAAAATCAGCCATGGCCCTATTTACAGGCCATGAGAGTTGTTGGGTGGTTGTGTTTTTCGGGGTTTTTTTTAAGTCTTTCCTACAAAAGAACTCACACGAAAACACACACAACTGTACTTTTTCAGAAGGTGGAAACACAAACTGATCTTGTCCCTCTGGTTTTCAAGAGTTTAAACGGCAGCGACATCTGCATCTAGATGAAAACTCCTCAGGGCAAGTGGATCAAAGACACAGAAAATCCTGCCTTCAAAGAAATGCACCTTGTGACACTCCAAGAAGGAGGAGAGATATTTAAAGGAAAGCCTGCCCTGATTTATCACTGCTGACTTGAGGAAGAGGATAAAAAGCTCCGGGTTTCCAATGGCTTTTCAGCATTTCGCTGTGACCCCAGGGCCACAGAAGCTGTTTGTGAAATTCTTCCACTCATCGCTACCGAGGAGTATCGCCGCACTATAATAAACTCCTCTGCACAAACGCACACAGCCGTCTCCACTACCATTCTCGTCCCTTCCATCCCTGACCCCGGCGTGGACACAATGCTACAAAAAGCAGAGTCATGGGGCAATGCGGGGCGCGGGGTGGGGGCGGGGGGCGTTGCAAGGGGCTCAAAGAGCCAGAAAAGCGAGGGTGGAAGAAATAGTCGGCGGGCTGGTCCGTGACCTAGAGCCAGCCCTGGGGTGGGGATGCAGACTCCCAGGGCGCAGTAAAGCCACGGGGATGCCCACTCTGCCGTGCCCTGCCTCCCTGCCCTCCATCACCCCATCCTCGCCGGCAGGACCACCTCCGGGCAGAGGGCGCCACTCGGAGTCCCCCAGCCTCGCGCCGGAGGGCTGGGGTGCAGCCTGGGGCTGAGCGGTGGGCGAGGGCCGGGCGGGCGCGCGGGGGGCGATCGGGGACCGCGGCGGCGGCCGCGGCGGAGGGGGGAGCGGGGGTCGCAGGAGGGTCGGCTCGCGCCGCTGCGGGGGGCGGCCCCGGTTACTCACGTTCTCCGTGTCCCGCTCGTTCACCGTCGGCAATGGCGTCCGGGCCGACATTTTGTGCGGGCGGCGGGGTCGGGCCGGGGTCTCGCGGGCCGGGGTCTCGCGGGCCGGGCTGGGGTGCGGGTTCAGGGGGCGCAGGCGCGGGCCGAAGCCGGGCGCAGCGCTCCCGCAGGCCGCGGGCGGTGCCACCAGCGGCCCCGGCGCGCAGAGGGGACGAGGCCGCGGAGGGCGGGGAGGGGGCGGCGGCCCGCGGCGGCGCCGGGGACGCGGGCGGCGGCGAGGGAGGGCTCCGCGCGGGCGGGCCGGCGGCGGCGGCGGCGGCGGCGGCGCCGCGGGGCAGAGGCGCCGGGGGCGGCGTCCGGGCCCCGCTAGGCTCCCGGGGCCATGGCTGAAGGTGAACTCGCGCCTCCGATCGCGGCCCGGCGAGCGCGGCTGGGGGCCGGGAGCCGCGGCCCTGACAGCGCCCCGCGCCCCGCCTGCCTGAGCGGCGCCCGCGGGCCGTGCCGCAGCCGCGCGCGGGGCCCCGTCCCGCTCGGTCCGCGCTCAGCGCCGCCGCGGAGCCGGGAGGAGCGGCGGGCGCGGCGCGCAGCGCCCAGAGGCACTTGGCGGCGGCCGGCGGGTGGGCGGGCGCCAGCCGCGGGGCCTCTCCATTCATTCCCTCATTAGGGATGCGGGGCGCCTCCTCCTCCCCTCCCGCGCTCGCTCGCGCGCCGGTCCCTGTTTATTTTTGTCCCGCGCCACACCCGCCGAGTACGGTCGACTCTGCGCCTCGGGTTCCTTTTCTCGTTCTCGGTGTTTGGGTTTTGCCGAGGCGGGAGGACTTTGCCCCTTTTTTGTCTTTGGGGAACACCTGGGTGCCGCGGACCCTGGCTCCTGCACCGCCGACCTGCTGCTACCTGGGGGCTTCCTCACACCCTCCTTCGCCCCGTCGCCAAGCTTTCCCAATGCCTGCCCGCCCCGGAGTCCTCTCTCAGGCAGCCCCCTTCTGCAGGGAGCCGGCGGTGTCAGGGCCACCCGAATAGTTGGGCACAGGGCACAAAAGACCCTCCAGGCGCTAGGAGGGGCTCAGGCCAGGAGCTCGCCCAGGTGGCCCGGACGGCGCGGCCCCCTAGGCAATGGGGACCGTGGAAGAGGTCACCCGCTGCCCACCGCGGCACCCCCGGAGTAGGTGACAGCCGGGAGTCACGACGTCTACACGGGCTGATCGTCACTTCCTGGGACACAAGGAAGTGTCACTTAGGCGAGCTTGTTTAGGGACAGAGGCGAGCGGTCTGTTTTCGGCCCTGTCCTACCTTCCCCAGGTGGCTTCCTCACCCTTCCACCCACCTGCCACTCCTCACTTTCTGCTACAACCCCGTTTCAGGGGCCCGGCGCCCCTCGAAAGCGGTGCTCCTGCTGCTGTCTTATTTGAGAGCTTGCATTTTGCACACTCAGCCTCCAAGACAAAAGCCTTCCTATCGTCTTGCCCCATCTTTCCGATATTTCTTTTTCACTTCCTCTCATGGACTGCCGGGCAGGAGCAATAGAAGAGGACAGACTGAGTTTCTGAGCCGCTTCCATAGCTTCCGATGGGAACCTCAGGCTGGGCGATTCCGCCTCTCTCCTGAAGATCACCCATTTGAGAAAAGAACAACTCCTACACCAGATGGCTTTTATCCTGACTTATTAAAGGTGGTTTCTGAAAAATTAACATTTGACCCTTAGGTCATGCTCCAAAAGACTTAAAAATAGCAAGTAATCCTCTAAGAGATCCTCTCAGAGGGGAAAGAAATCCCACTCCATGGGCACTTACTTCTAGAACACCATCTATGTATTTATTTCATTAGCATTGTATCTTGGGAACATCTCCTAGTTTCACAAAGCGAATAGAAATCACGAGTTCCCTTTGGCGCTGAGCGCCGCTTCTCTGACAGGGGTCCGGCCTTGGAAGCGCTGGGCTGCAAACAACTACGTGTGCGGCTGGCAAGGCCAGGCTCTTGCATCCTCTGCGGGCGTTTGGGGTCACCCAGGTGGGCAGGGGCGGCCAGGGCGGAGCGTGCACGTTCCTGGTAAGGAGAGCCACTTTCTGATAACGGGCTGCTCAGCGCCGGCAGCCGCCCGGGAGCACCTCGTCGCCATAGTGCCCGTCCTAACCTGGTACTAAACAGGTTAGCTGTGCGAGGGGGTTCCTCCCCTTTGGGAAATGAACCGCTCCTTCAACAGATAGCTTGGGTTTTGCTTGTCAGAGCCCACGCGTGCATTATCCTGTGTCTTTACCTTTGTATTGAGTCGGGCAGGCATGTTTATTTTTATAGAAGTCCACTCAGTTGGCTTATTCAAGATCACGGATGCACCAAGACAGTAGCGTGTGGTGATGTTCACCCCGCACATTGCGTTATACCTGTAAGACAACGTGGCCAATTAGAGACAGAGCTCAAAGGAAAGCCTTGGATTCTGGGACGGTGGCTTCCAAGACCGTAGAGTGTACGTTAAAGGCAGGGCAAATCCCTTACCTTTATGTGCTACGCTGTGTTCGCATGACGCTGTGTTCGCATGGTGAAACTTAACTGATGGATGGGGCAGGAGAAAGGGGAGGCAAGGAAATGGAGACAATTGTATTTGAACAATAAAAAAAAGAATACAAGGAAAAAAAGAACTGAAAATTACATAACCATAGTAAGGGATACTTGTTTTCTAAACCAACGCATTAAAAAAACGTTTTGTAACAGTGGAGCTATATTCAAAAAGAGTCTTTATTGGATGGGTCACTCAACTCCACAATTCTGTTAACAAAATAGACTAGAAACAACGTTATCCAAAAAAAAAGGCATTTAAATAATTCATGCCTGGCATTTGGGGCCTGTTGTATAATGACAGTTCTCTCTGCTTTGCTTAGAAAAATTCCTTGTGTTTTGAAAAGGAGAGCGAGCCCCTGTGTGAGCTCCCCCCCCACAAAACGGCACGGGGCCGCCCGGCCCCGACGTAACCGCGAGCACACTCCTGAACACAAGTTTCTTGTGTCACTACGTGTGGCTTCTTGTGCCCATGACTATGAAGAAAGGGCACAAGGAATCTTTTAAGGCTTCGAGCAATTTTCTTTAGGGTTATGAGCCAAGTGTGGCATGTGTAATTCCGAGATTTCTAACCTAGGATGTTGGGGTGATAAAGGTTTCCGGGGAAAAGTGACATATTGCGAAAACAAAGGAAAAATGAGAAGCGTGAGTGCTAAGTGCGCACTGAAATGCACGAAAAGAGCATCGCCTGCGCGCGGCCTTGCGCCACACCGCTCTCTGGTCCTGTGCTGTCCTGTGGCGGGGCACCCAGCAGCCATGGGGCTCTCGGCCCGTCACTAGTGCCCCCGAGGAATGGCGTTTTCTCTGTGATTTCACTTTAAACAATTTACAAACCGGTGTTTTACTCAGTTGTCAAAAAATTTTAAATTGTGTTGGAAAAAACTTGGATCTATGACTCTATCTTCTCAACTATAAATATTCTGAACTGTCAATGTGGATCAAGTGTTTGATGAAAATTTATCATCTGAATTGAGATACACTGTAAGTATAAAATGCATGCTAGAATTTAAAGACTTAGAAGGGAAACAGTGTAAGATATCTCTTTACCATTATATTGATTATATATTGAAATGCTAACATTTTGACATGTCGGGCTAAATGAAATATATTATTAAAATTAATTTCAACTGTTTCTTTTTACTTTTTCAAATGTGCATACTGACAGATATAAACTTACACATGTGACTTAAATCATCTCTCTATTGGACAGCACTTCTCTGTAAGGTAATAATTGAGAATAAAGAGGTTTAGTTGCTGAAGAATCACAGGCCTTGATTGGAAGCTATCAATAAATCATTCTTTGACTCAACAAACATTTATTAAGTACCCCTCTACCACATGCCAAGCACTGTACTGTTCAAAGAGAATGTTCTTCACCTAATAGTTACCAGCAGTTAGTATTATAATCTTTTTACAAAAGAAAAAATATGGTGGATTCATATAAATGAGTGTCAACAGATTGCACTCATTTGTAAGTAAGGAATTTCTCAAATGTGACAGATTCCACAGAATTCATGATAAACTCATAAAACTGTGCACTTCTTATATCCTGTGCTTTAAATGTATCAAATGTCTGATAGACTTGGCTAGTCAGTAACTATTTATTGAGGGCATACTTTGTTTCAGTAGGATACAAGGCTATTGCCATCTTTCATTTAACCCTCAGAAGAAAACTACAAGATGGGCAACTCTGTAAGGTAACAAAGAGTTGTCCCAGCTAAAGAGGAAGGTAGTTAATGTCCTTCAGGAAAAGAACAATCAGTTCTCTTCATAAAATAGATTGGGTCCTGATGGCTTTCCTATCATTAACAAAGTACATTTTTTGCATGTCAACAGTCACCACTTAGAATGTGGAATCACTGAGGTGGAAAGGGGCCTCAAGAGAAAAAGTAGTTTTTATGTTAAAAACTGGGTAAGGCTGCTGCCATTTACATTGCATACACAGCTACGGGAGAACACAGAGTCCTTGCGATTATACGCCCTACACTTGTCTTCCTAGCTCTCAGCATCAGCCCCAGGTCAGCTCCTGGGGGCTGTCCAGCGCGGGCCACTGCACACCTCACAGCACAATCTACGTCCAAGTGACACTTAGTCTCTCCCCTTCCACTCCCACCGGCGCTCCAGACTCTGCAATGTTGCCCTGTCGGAATTCCCCGAACACACCATACTGCTGACTCCTCTGCGCCTTTGAGTCATCTCTTCTCTCTTCCTGGAATGTCCTGCCCGCTTTTCTGTCTGATGGCCTCAGAGCTGGTCTTTCAAAACCTTCTCTGGGAACGCTTCTCTGCCTCCCCTGCTCCTCCTGACACCCAAAGAGTTAATCAGTCGCTGTGTCCATATGACCTCTGAGCCCTGGACACACTGTGTGCCTGGCTGGTGGCCAGCCGCACTGGGCGCTGGGGCAGGGAAGGAAATGTCTTCTTTAAGGCCAAGCACAGTCCCTAGCAATTAGTAACCCAGTTTCCTAAATGAGCATTATTGACTTTTTTTCACATAGTAAAGCTTCCTGTGCCTCCATAGTCTTTTGAATTTCTAAGAAGCATCATATAGGAATTGAAAATATAG